AATTCAGGGTACTTGTTCTTGGAAAAGGCTTTCTCTGTTAGTTCTAGGGGGAAGGTCCTTGTTTCTTTCAGGTTCTGTTCCTTGGCAATCTTCGTGTGGTGTGGCATGTATCTTCCCCGATCTGTGCTTCCTTTCCTCTGTGCCTAATGTGTTCCTTGTATATCTCAGAAGTAACTGCCTTAAGATAACACCCTACGCTGATATGGCCTCATTAATGTACGAAAGTAAACCCTATTCCCAAATGGGATAACATCCACAGGTATAGAGTTACAATTTACATAGATATTTTTGGGAAGCACAATTCAATCCACAACAAATTCCATGTCCCTGGGGCAAGTAATCTCAATCTTTTCCCGTTTATCATGACGTTGCTTACTAGCCCAGATGTGAGGATTTTTGTTTTCTTTTTCTTGAGGCGTAATCCATAGTGAAGGCTATAGTCTTTGATCTTCATCAGTAAGAGTTCAAGTCCTCTTCACTTTCACCAAGCAAGGGTGTGTCAACTGCATAACGCAGGTTAAGGAGTCTTCCTCCAATCCTGATGCTCCATTCTTCATCATACAGTCCACCTTCTTGGGTTACTTTCTCAGCATATAGACTGAATCGGTATGGTGAAAGGATACAACCCTGATACACACTTTTTCTGACTTTAAATCACGCGGTATCCCCTTGTTCTGTTTGAATGACTGCCTCTTGATCTATGTATAGGTCCTCATGAGCACAATTAAGTGTTCTGGAATTTTAATTTTTTTCAATGTTATCCATAATTTGTTAGGATCCACACAGTCGAATGCCTCTGCAGAGTCAATAAAACACAGGTAAACATCTTTCTGGTATTCTCTGCTTTCATCCAGGATCCATCTGACATAACCAACAATATCCCTTGTTCCATGTCCTCTTCTGAATCCAGCTGAATTTATTGCAATTGCGTTGATGTACTGCTGCAGTTGCTTTGGAATGAACTTCAGCAAAATTTTACTTGTGTGTGATATTAATGATAATATTGGATAATTTCTGAATTTGGTTGGATCACTTTTCTTTGGAATGGACAAAAATTTGGATCTCTTCCAGTCAGTTGGCTAGGTAGCCATCTTCAAATTTCTTAGCATAGACGAGGGAGTACTTCCACTGCTGCATCCATTTGTTAAAACATCTCAATTGGTATTCCATCAATTCCTGGGACCTAGTTTATCGCCAATGTCTTCAGTGCAGCTTCGACTTCTTTCATCACTACCACTGGATCTTGATCATAGCCTAACTCCTGAAATGGCTGAATGTAAACCAATTCTTTTTGGTACAGTGACTCTGTATTTGTTCCATTTCCTTTTGATGCTTCCTGCATCATTCACTATTTTTCCACAGAATCCTTCACTATCGTAACTCGAGGCTTGAATTTTTCTTCAGTTCTTTCAGCTTGAGAAGTGCTGAGCATGGTGTTCCCTTTTGGTTTTCTAACTCCAGGTCTTTGCACGTGTCATTATAATCCTTTGTCTTCTCGAGCCGCCCTTTGAAATCTTCTGTTCATCTTTCACTTCATCATTTCTTCCTTTTGCTTTAGCTACTCAACATTTAAGAGCAACTTTAAGTCTGTTCTGACATCCATTTTAGTGTTTTCTTTCTTTCCTGTCTTTTTAACAACCCCTTGCTTTCTTCATGTATGATGTCCTTGAAGTCATTCCACAACTTATCTGGTCTTTGGTCATTAGCATTCAATACTTCGAATCTATTCTTAAGACGGTCTCTAAATTCAGGTGGAATATATTCAAGGTCATACTTTGGCTCTTGTGAACTTGTTCTAATTTTCTTCAGCTTCAGCTTGAACTTGCATAGGAGTAACTCATGATCTGTTCCGCAGTTGGCCCCTGGCCTTTTTTCTGACCGATGGTATTGAGCTTTTCCATCATCTTTCCACAGATGTAGTTGATTCGATTCCTGTGGATTCCATTTAGCAAAGTCCAGGTGTATAGTCAACATTTATTTTGTTGAAAAAGGTATTTGCAATGAAGAAGTTGTTGGTCTTGCAAAATTCTATCATGCAATCTCTGGCATTTTCTAACACCAAGGCCATAATTTACAACTACCAATCCTTCATTTTCAGCTTTCACTTTCCAATCACCAGTAATTATCAATGCATCCTCATTGTGTGTTCTATCAATTTCAGGCTGCAGGTATTGGTAAAAATCTTCAATTTCTTCATCTTTGGCATTAGTGGTTAGTTCGTAAATTTGAATAATAGTTGTATTAACTGGTCTTCCTTGTAGGCACATGGATATCATTCTATCACTGACAGCATTGTACTTCAGGATAGATCTTGAAATGTTCTTTTTGTTGATGAATGTAACACCATTCCTCTTCAATTTGTCATTCCCAGCATAGTAGACCATATGATTGTTCAATTCAAAATGGTCAATACCAGTTCATTTCAGATCACTAATGCCTAGGATATCAATGTTTATGCATTCTATTTCATTTTAACGATTTCCAATTTTCCTAGATTCATACTTCATACATTCCCATTCTGACTAATGGATGTTTGCAGCTATTTCTTTTCAGTATGAGTTGTGGAACATCAGCAGATGAAGGTCTCGAAAGCTCTTCTCAAGTCATATTTTGAATACGTTTCAACCTGAGAAGCCTATTTTCCAGCACTATGTCAGACAATTACCAATTCTTACACCACGTACTCTCTACTTGTTTGCTGGGTTCTATAATTCACTGCAATGGACACACAACTCAGACAATACAATTATGGGGTTTATTAGGGAAGTAACAGGTTACAACTAAGGATCAGAAATGACTAAGAATAGTTTTTCAGTTAGGACAGCCTCTTCTCCAACCTGTCTCTGGCCCTCGGCCAAGCCTCTGCCCTGCTTGGGCAAATGTTACAACGCTCTTTAGTTCCTCTGTCATGTCTAGAGGCACCCCACTCTGCCAGTAAGCCTCCTTCCTGAAGGCACTCAGCTTTCTTACTCTGAGCCAGGGAGGTCACTACACCATCTCCTGTCAGTCTGGTTCTATTTACCTCTTCTACTATTTCTCTGCTGCTGCTTCCCACTGTCTTGCCGTCTTCAGTGTTATAGCTCTGTCTTCTGGGTCTAAGAGGATCTCAGTGCAGGCATCCTAGGTTCAAAGGATGTACTCTATACTCATCTTTGTGGTTGTAGTTCCTATTCTGCTCTGGGATTGACTCTCATTTAAGCCTAGTGAAATGGCAAAACTGACCAATCCCCTCATTAGTGTTCCATACACCTCATGTGCATAGTTCCACTCCCACAGGGTTCCATGCACTTTATTTACATTAGCTGCAAGCTGTCCAATCCCCTTGGTGGGCCAGAAGCACCTTATTTGCCTATTCCCACCCAATCGTGTGGGAGTCACAAAGACTATGGCTAGAAGGGCCATATTAATTCACTGTGCTGCAGGACTTCCTCAAAAAGTTAATCATAAACCTACCACGACACAAACTCCACTGCTATACACCTGAGGCTTGAAAAAAGCAATGCAACCACACACGTGTATACCAATGTTCACTGCAACACTATTCACAATCATAAAAAGGTGGGAACAACCTACATGTCCATCAATGGATGAAAGAATAAAATGTACATACAACAGGATACTAATCGGCCATAAATAATACCCTTATTCATGTTATAACATGGATGAACATTAGAAAACACTCTGCTCAGTGAGGAAAGTCAATCAGAAAAGAATACTGTATGATCTCTGTTACACGAAATAACGAAAATAGGCTAAGTATAAAGATTAAAGTTCAATAATTGTTACAAGTGGTCGGAGAAAGGCAGAAAGGAGGCATCATTGTTTAGAAAACGTTTCGATTTTATGGTGATAGAAAGTTGGTAACAGAGATGGTGATATTTGCATAGCAGTATTGATATAATCGATGTCACTAAACCGTACAGGTGGAAAATGTTGAACTAGCAAACATTGTGTTATGTATAGTTGTATCACAATAAAAAAAAATTTGCAGGCGAATGTAATATGTAAAACATTAAAGACATTAAAAACAAAAAGGAAAAGTCTAAATCTTCTTTGGATCTTAGCTTTAACAAACCTGACAACTCTAATACTTTCGGAAAACTAGAGAAATTCTGTTTTCTTGGGTGGGACAATGGAGACTCGGTTTGTTTCTAACCATTAAATGTTTCATCATCATAACATTTATATATATAGACAAATAAGAATATCTAAACAGTTTGAGTCTAGGTCATGACTGATCCTTTTACTGGAAGCATAGGTTTAGCTAAGAAATTCAAAATAAATACATGGAAGAAATTCTGTGTCAAAACTCACCTTGTTCATGGTAAATTCAACTCCAACCAATGCTAGTAAAATAAATAAGCACACATGGTCTTTCTTAGAGACTCTCATGTTTTGAAGCTATGTAAGATTATCAGGGCTCTGGAACTGAGGTGAGGTGGAGACGACTTGCGAATTCGTTGAGTGGAGCTTTTTTCATGGTATGTTTGTATTTATCTTTATTAATATGTTCATGGATTTACTTATATTACATAAACTTAATAAGCTGAAAAGCTATCATTCCACTTCAATATACTTTATCAAATTTCAGTAAATAAAGCCAGAGACATCACATTCAGTTTTCACTGGAACACACCAGAATCACCAAGCAGACGACACTGGGGCCAGAGCCTCCTTGACACAAAAGTCGGACATGGATTTTCCTTTTGAAGAAAGGACATAAATGTTGCTTTGAAAGTTTTGGGAAGATGGAGCCCAGTAGATGAAATAGCACTGCCTACATTTCCCAACATGCTTCCTCTTTGGGACCCAAGCCCAAGAAGGCTATTCTGATTCCAGCAGTTTTGGATGAGCTGCAGGCTAGGCAGGTGTGGGCAAAAAGAGTTGAGGTCTGCTCTGGAGCACCCACTGAGGTTGGAGCAACCAGGAACCATCTAAGGACAAGCCAACTATAACCTGGCATCACCACCTCTGGACCCTCCTAATTCTCTTGCATGGTAACATGTCGATCTGCCTGCTACAGAGGCGAAAACTTACTTCAGCAATGTCAGTGGAGGCAGTGAGTGGTAAGAGGGCTACCAACTGACTCGCTAGCTTGGATGTGCCTATCTACTCCCAGGTTCCACATTAGGACATAGTATGGCCAAGACCTGAGAATTTTTATTTTCCTTCCACAAAACACTTGGTTGGGCCCTAGGCTCAGAAGAGGTTAGCAGTGGTAGTGGTGGTATAGCCAGGAGGCCCATACACATAGGTCTGTGGTCTAATTTAGATGGCTTCAAGCCACCCCCTCCCCTTAGCAAGTGCGGGGCTGCTTGTCAGATGAGCCACCCACCTGAATGTCCTTCACTGATGCCAGTGAGAAACGTGTACTAGATTCCTTCAGAAAGCATCTGCTCCAGATGTCAGAAGCAACTGTAATTACACATTGCTAGAAGGAATACAAAATGGCACATCTTTAAAAAAGACTGGCAGTTTCTTATAAACATACACCTACCATATGACAGCAATCACACTCCCAGATATATGCAAGAAAAATGAAAACTTTATGCCCACATAAAAATCTATGCAAGAAACTTTATTTCAGCTTTGTTCATAAAAAATGGAAACACAACTGTCCTCCAATGGTGAATACACAAACTGTGGTATGTCTACAGAATAGTACCAAACAAAAAACTTCTGATACATTCATCAACATGGATGACTCTCAAAGATACTATGCTAAGTGAAAGGAACCAAAATAAAAAATCCACATAGTGAATAGTATCTATAAGGACAGTTGCTATGAACAATGAATGTAAAAAAAGTGAAAATTAGGGAGAAGCAAAATGAAAAATTAATCACAATCTCACCTTTGGAGGCGAATCCTTGTTAATGTTCTGGAATGAACTGTGTATCAGCTGGTTTGTAGGCACTTATAAAATGTAAAACACTTATGTGTAAATCTTTACAAACTGTCATCATGTGTATACCCTGTCATTCACACATTATGCAAAGAGTTTTTCCCGTAGTTCAAACATTTCTGGAAATAACTCATTTAGTGGCAATTAAATGTTCTGATGTGTGGTAAAGGATTTACTGAACTCCCCTACTGGCAGATACTGACTCTCATGCTATCCACCATCTATCACTCCTATTAACAAGCACCATCACGATATCCAGGAATTTCCATAGGATGACTCTACAAGAGGAACTGCTGCATTAAGGAAAGGTCTAATTTGAAGGCTTCTGCTACCTGCAGTCACCATTTCCCAGGCTGCTTACATGAGGAATCAGTGAGGCAGCTCCCAGTTCAGCATGTGGTAGTTAGATAAACTTCCAGGACCAACATTCCCGTGTCTACTCCCATTAATACAGAAACTCCCAACTCTCCAGGTCCTACAGTAGGTGTGCACACCAGGTGTAGCAGCATCCATTACTGCAGCTCAGACAAGCACCCGCAGCTTCATATCTTGGCCTAGCATACACTTTGTCAGAACTACTAAAACAGGGACTCTGTCAGTAAGAACAGGCTTGGTGCCCATGCAGGATGGAAGCTCCACTGCAGCTATGCTAGGCTGGGCTCTGTGGAGGCCCACCATGGCCTTGGGACCTCAGAATGATCCATCCTTCCATGCAAACACTGCTTTTAATACCACCATGTGAGACAGCAGTACTTCTGTGGGTTGATTCTGGGTTAAAACTTTCTGTACAGTTTCCTTATTGGTAAACCAGAGATCACGATAGTAGCAGAGAGAATAAACGGGATGCAATAGAAAACAGGTCCACTACAACACTAAACATACGGTATAATCCTGATGCTGTTAAAAATATTGGTTTTCATCCAAGGAAAGGTGAAAACAAATAAAATACCAAGAGTTGTAAAAAGGGATGAAAACTACTCAACATCATCATATATACAATGTACTGTTTCTCTTCAATATACTTACTCGTGTGCTCCAAAGGATAGGGCCATCTTAAAACTCTCCCATATTCCTTACAAACGTAAGGACTCCACTGTTAGTATGTTTACAGAAGGAATAATAGCTAAAGACTTTTCCACATTCCTTACATTCATAAGCTCTCTTCCACCGTGAGCTCTCAGACATGTAGCAAAGAATGAGGAATGCCTAGAGTCACACAATCCTTACATTCATAAGGTATCTCTGCATTGTGAATACTGTGTATTCAGTGAGCTTTGAAGACTAAAAGCTTTACCACATTCCTTATAAATTCTCTTTACTGTGGGTTGTTAAATGATTAGTGAGATGTACCAACTGACTAAATGCTTTCCCATATTCCTGACATTTATAAGGCTTCAGAGCACTGTGTGTTCTTATATAGCTAACGAGGGATGAGGGATGACTAAAGACCCTCCACAGCAAGTTCTTCTACATTTACTGAAAGATGAGGACTGACCAAAGACTTTCCCACATTCCTGACATTCATAAGGCTTCCCTCCATTGAGTTCTTATATGTTAGAAGGGATGAGGAATAACTAAACGCTTTCCCACATTCCTGACATTCATAAGGCTTCTCTCCACTGTGAGTTCTTATATAGCTAGTGAGGGATGAGGACTGACTAAAGGTTTTCCCACATTTCTTACATTCGTTAAGACTACTCTCCGCTGTGCATTTTTATATGGCTAGTGAGCGAGAAAGAATAACGAAAAGACTTTCCCACATTCTTTACATGCATAAAGCTTCTCTCCAGTGTGAATTCTTAAATGTTTAGTGAGTGATGTGGAACAAGTAAAGACTTGCCCACATTCCTTACATCCATAAGGCTTATCTCCAGTGTGAGTCCTTTTATGTTTAGTGAGGTTTGAGGGCCGACTAAAAGCTTTCCCACATTCCTTACATTCATAAGGCTTCTCTCCACTGTGAGTATGGAGAGGGATGAGGCCCAGTTAAAGGCTTTCCCACATTCCTTACATTCAAATGGCCAATCTCCACTGTGAGTTCTTATATGTATAGCGAGGGAGGCAGTATGATTAAAGGACTTCCCACATTTCTTACATTCGTAAGACTTTTCTCCACCTTGAATTCTTACATGTTTAACGAGGGGTAAAGACAAAGATTTCCCACATTCTTTACATTCATAAGGCTTTTCTTTGGAATAGGCAAAAACGATCTCTTCCAGTCAGATGACCAGGAGACTGTTTTCCAAATTTCTTGGCTTAGATGAGTGAGCACTTTTGGTGCTGCATCCATTTGTTGAAACATTTGAATTGGTATTCCACCAATTCCTGGAGCCTTGTTTTTCACCATTCCCTTCAGCGCTGCTTGGACTTCTTCCTTCATTACCATTGGTTAATAATATGCTACCTCCTGAAGTGGTTGCAAGTGGACCAATTGTTTTTTGAACAGTGACTGTTTATCCCTTTTTTTTTTTTTTTATGTTTCCATCTTAGGAAACTAGAAAAATCAGAGCAAGTTAAATTGCAAGTAAGCAGAAAAAAAGAAATAAGAAAAATTACAGAACACATCAGTGAAAATGAAAACAGGAAATCAACACAGATATTTAACAAAACAAAAAGATGGTCCTTTGAAAAATCAATAAAATTGATAAATACTTCCAAAATAATTTTATGAAGCCAAGATTACCCAAATACAAAACAGACAAAGATATTACAGAAAAGAAAAACTACAAACCAAGAGCTCTCATGAACACAGAAGTGAAACTCAAAAAATATTAGGAAATCAAATCCAACAATATATAAGAAAAATCATACACTACAACTATGCAGGATTTATTCCATGTATGCAAGGCTGGTTCAAAACTAGAAAATCGATTAATGTCATCGATCCTATCAACAAATTAAAGAGAAAAATCACACAAATATACCTATATAGAAAAAGCATTTGACAAAATCCAACACCCATTAATGATAATTCTCAGCAAACTAGGAAAAGGTAGGAAAGGTCCTCAACTTGATAAAGAACATCTACAAAAAACCTACAGCTAACACATAGTTACTGTTAAGAAACTAGCTCATTTCTGCTAAAATTGGAAACAAGGCAAGGATGTCTCCACTCACCACTCCTATTCCACATTGTAGTAGATGTCGTAAGTAATACAATAAGACGAGAAAAAAAAAAAGGTATTCAGACTGGTAAAAGGTTGTGGTATGAATTAGCATGGCCTTTCTTGCCATGGTCTCTTGACTCCCACCCAGGTGACGGGGGCGGGGGGGCTGTGCAAATAAGATGATTGTGGCCCACCAAGGGGACTGGTCAGTTTTACCTTAAAGAGAGCCAACTGCAGAGACAAGAGCCCAAAATCACCAAGCCAGCAGAGACCCACAGGACAGACAGGAGACGGTGCAGGGGGCTTCTGGGCCCACTAAGCAGGAAAGCTGAGTGCCTTTGGGAAGAGACTGAGGGCCAAGGAGAAGCCTATGCCTGACTCAAGAATTTGGGACTTGCCAGCCAGCCTCCACAACCACGTGAGCAATTTCTTTTATACGGTTCACGAGTTCTGTGAGACAGTTCGTGAGTTCTGTGAGATGCTGCAGCGAATTAGGGAATCCAAAGATGGGAGGGAGCATACTGGGGGGAGAGGGAGTAGCTGATGCTAGAGATGATGGAGTGGTATAGCAACTAGGAAAAGATGGACATTTGGGACGTCTTTAACATCTGCCACATACGAACCATCTTTGTGCTCATCCTTCTAAAATAATTTGTTTAAAGGTATTCAGTCTTTGTTAACAGTTGAAAGGACTATGCAGACAATCCCGAAGACTCAACAAAAGAATTCCTAAAACTAATAATCCTACCAAAGATGCAGCGTGTTGTTATTGTTGTGAGGTGCCGTCCAGTCAGTTGCAACTTACAGCAACCCTATGTACAAGAAAACGAAACACTGCCTGGTCCTGCAACATCCTTAAAATTGTTACGTTTGAGCTCACTGTTGCAGGCACTGTCAATCCATCTTGTGGAGGGTCTTCCTCATTTTTTGCTGACCCTCTACTTTACAAGCATGATGTCGTTCTCCAGGGACTGGTCCGTCCTGATAACATGTCCCAAGTACGTGAGAGAAAGTCTTACTATCCTGGCTTACAAGTAGCACTCTGGCTGTATTTCTTCCAAGAAAGATTTGTTCATTCTTCTGGCAGTCTATGGTATACTCAATATTCTTCACCAACATCATAATTCAAAGACATCAATTCTTCCTCAGTCTTCCTTATTCACTGTCCAGCTTTTGCATGCACATGAAGCAACTGAAAACACCAAGCTTGGGTCAGGCGCACCTTAGTCCTAAAAGTGATATCTTTGTTTTTTAACACTTTAAAGAGGTCTTTTGCAGCAGATCTGCCCAATGCAATATGTCATTTGATTTCTTGACTGCTGCTTCCATGGGTGTTGACTGTGGAAACAAGTAAAACAAAATCCTTGACAATGTCAATCTTTTCTCCATTTATCATGATGTTGCTTACTGTTCCAGTTGTGAGGATTTCTGTTTCTTTATGTTGAGGTGTAATCCATCCTGAAGGCTGTGGTCTTTGATTTTCATCAGTAAGAGCTTCAAGTTCTCTTCGCTTTCAGCAAGCAAGGCTGTGTCATCTGCAGATCGCAGGATGTTAATGAGTCTTCCACCAATCCTGATGCCACATTCTTCTTCATGCAGTCCAGCTTATGGAGGATAAAAGGTTAATATACAAAAATCATTGCTTTCTTATATACCAATGGAGAAAAATTAACATTTGGTATTAAAAATACAACAGATTTACATGAGCAACAACAAAAAATGACAGTATAAATCTTACAAAATAGGTAAAAGATCTATATGAGGAAAACTACAAAACTGATGAAAGAAATCAAAGAATAGCTAAATAAACAGATATATTCCAGGTTCATGGGTAGGAAAAATCAATATAGGTAAGACGCAGGTCTTCCCAACTTCATCTATAGATTCAGTGCCATCCCAAGCAAAAGCCCAGAGAGTTATTTTGGGGATAGTGACAAACTTTTTTGTAATATTTATATGAAAACAGCAAAGACTCAGAACAGGCAACATATTATTGAAGAGAACAAAGCTGGAATACTGACACTGTACCACTTCATGATTTACCCTAAAGCTACAGTAATCAAGACAGTGTGGCAGTGGTTAAAGAATAGACAAATCCATAAATGCAACAGAAGAGAAAGCCCAGAAATAGACACACACAAATAGAATCATTTGATCTTTGAGAAAAGACCAAGGACAAATCAATGATGAAAGAATAGCCTTTTCAATAAATGATACGAGAAATAATTTACATATAAATTGAAAGGATTCTAGGTACAGACAGCTTTCACAAACATTAACTCAAAATGGATCAAAAACAGAAATGTCAATGCAAAACTAAAAAACTCCAAGAAGATGGCACAGCAGAAAATCTAGGTGATCCTGCATTTGACAATGACTTTTTAGGTATGACACTAAAAGCATAATCCCTGACATAAAAAAAAAAAGAAGATAAATTAGATATCATTAAAATTAAAAACTTTTGCTCTGCAAAAAATACCGTTAAGAGAATGAAAAGACAAGCCACCAAGTGGGGGAAAATCTTTCCAAAACACATTATCTGATAAAGGACTGCTATTCAAAATATACAAAGAACTTTTTCTTAAAACAAGAAAACTAAAACTCAATTACAAAATGGGAAAATCAGACATCTCACTGAAGAAGATACACAGATGACAAGCATATGAAAAGAAGCTCAACATCATGGGTATTCAGGTTAATTACAAATTAAAACACCAGTAAGATAAACCTGTTGCCATCAAGTCGGTTCGAACTCACAGGGACCCTACAGGACAGAGCAGAACTGCCCCACAGGGTTTCCAAGGAGCACCTGGTAGATATGAACAGCCAATCTTTTGGTTAGCAGCCAAGCTTTTAACCACTGTGCCACCAGAGCTCCATCATCCTATGTATCAGAATGACTGAAATCTAAACCACTAACAAAACCAAATGCTGTTGAGAATGTGGAACAAAAGTAACTCTCAGTCACTGCTGGTGGGATACCGCCAGTTTGGAAAACAGTTTGGCAGTGCTTACAAAACTGAACAATCTCTTACCATATGATCCAGCAATTGCACTCCTTGGTATTTACCCAAAGTGAGTTGATAGTGTACTTCCACACAAAAACCTAGAGCTTTTTTCATAATTGCCAGAAATTGGGGGCAACCAAGATGTCCTTCAATAGGTGAATGGATAAGCAAACTGGGGTGCATCAATGTTCTTGATGTTTGCTGTGGAGTCAGCCACTGACTCATGGCTACCACATGCAAGGGATCAGACTCGTGATTCATAGGGTTTCCACTGGATGAGTTTTCAGAAATAGATCATCAGGCCTTTCTTCCTAACCTGTCCGAGTGTGGAAGCTCTGCTGAAACTTCATAATCACAGCAACTCACAAGCCTCCAATGGTGGCTATGCTTGAGGTGGATTAGCTAGTATCGAATCTCTGTCTCCTGCATGGAAGGTAAGAATTCTATACCAGTGAACCAGAGGGCATCCATACACTGGAGTATTATTGACCAGAAAGAAAAAATGAGCTATCAAGTCACAGAAAGACATGGTGGAACCTTAAATGAATATATTGCTCAGTAGAAGAAAATTTGAAAAAACTACATACTATGTGATTTCCATTATAAAACATTCTGGAAAAGGCAAAACTAAGGAAGACAATAAAAAGGTGGCAGGGTTTCATGAAGGGGGGAAAGGGATGAATACATGGAGCAAAAAGGATTTTTAGGGCAGTGAAATTATTCTGTACGATACGATAATGGTGGCTATAAGACATTATGCATTTGTCAAAACCCATAACATGTAAAGCCAAAGAGTGTCCCCTAATGTAAATTATGGCCTTTAGTTGATAAGAATGTATCAATATTGATCAATTATA